CTATATACTCGTATTCATACATATCGACATATCTATCTATACGATGTGTAGTCTCTTCATACATGGTTTCCCTTTGGATATCGTGCTGCAATTTATAAATATTTATTTAACATGACTGCCCTGCTGCTGAGCTGCTGCAACACTTGATATGGTTTTGGTTATGCTCAGCATAACTATAAGACGATTAAAAAAATTACTACAACTGAAACTAAAGTTTTCATGGCGAATCATAATTAACGGTGTGGCGGTGGGTACTTTGCATATGTGCAACCATCTATGGATCATTTGCTATAGTTTTGTGTGTTTTCTCCAACAAAGAGAAGTCGTCATCATAATCTCATCATCGCCTTGAAATGGTGGTGGAGGTGGCAGTTAAGGAATATTGTAAAGAAAAGAAGTGCAGTACTTCGGCTGTGGAGCTGTTAATTAAATGTAAAATAATAACATTGCTCCGGGAATTGTTTCCCGTATGAATGGGGCACAAGAATGAATGAAGATTGTGTTTCCAGAACAGCTGGGGAAAAATAAACATAGAACTATTTCAAAGACCATTGAAGAAATCTGCCAATCTCTGCCATTGATGGAGGTTAGCTAAGAGCCTAGGAGTACACATAGAAGAAGTCATTAAAATGTTCGTTGAAAACATTGTTACAATCTCAGAAAACAAAACTGCTGATGTGTGAAAATAAACAAAGATTTAATTAAATTAACGGAACGCTATACAAAGTTTGTATTTTAAAAGGGCATATTAGAATGAATATTATGTGAGATCTTTAGAGATTCTCAGAAGATGTATATTTAATGAATTATTCCAAGGAAGTTGTAGAATATAAGTTTATTTATTAGGTTAAGTAGTAGAATCAAGCGGTTAAATATCGGCCGGGCCTAACATTTTAAAAAGAATTTTCACCCAATAAGAATATAAAATAATATAGCCAATTTGGTGGAAAAACTCTACCAACATACCAAATGATGGTGGTAACATTAAATGGGGTCTACCCCGAAAAGTGGATCAATATTGATAATTTTTGTTAAGGAAATATTCTAGCCAATGTTAAGTCAAAATACAAAATTACTACCGATTCGGTTGAAAAATGTGCCCAAACTCTTTAAAATACCGAAATATAGGAGATACGGATATATGGGGTCCAAACTAAAAAGTGGACCTTTATTGATAAGCATGGCATAATTACACAAGGTAGTCTCATGCAGTCATATGATTCCAATTTTTTCATAATTTTAATTTTGACAACATTCAGCTTTCAAAATTTAAATGAAAATATCCTCCTTCGAAATGTACGCAAAACACGTGTTCAGTGGCAATAATTACAAAATGTTTAATATTTTGAAGTTCCCAGCCTCTATAATCTATAAATATAAGTTGTAACATCTTTAGTTATATCTTCATAGAGTAGGTTAACCCGGTAAAAAGTTCTAATGTAAATGCCGTTAAACGGAGAAGAAAAATCTGGTCCCAACCTTTTGAAAAAGGCGAGGACTCGAACTCATATTCCGAGTTATAAAACGAATGTAAGGCCGACATAACCTCCTTGGAATGCCCTGACTTTCCCGCCTTGGAAGGCCTGACTTTCCCGCCCTTCTCGATAAAGAGAATTAGAATTCTATCGACTGAGGGCGGCAACGCTGGCTGCAGTATCCAGAAGACGAGCGCAGCCTCGTTAAAGACCGGAAATCCCAAATACACTAACAGGATTGCACCGAAGAGGAAGATGGCAGCAACAACTGGTGAATAACCACTATTTTAGGCGAAGGTATCTACAAAGACGAGCTCTGCTTTCCAGTGACCCATGAAAACAGTGCGTCCGATAAATTGAGCTACATTGAAAAATGTCTTTTGAGATTCAGAAATGTTAAATTACAAATATGGGCTTTATATAGAATGTTTTAGTCCACGAACGAACTAGTTGAGTTGGACGATTATCGGAAAATTTCTCAAGAACTATGTCAGTCTATGTAGTTTCTTTTAGTAGCTTTTTTACTAAACGAACTATTAATTTCATCTGGACACCAAATGCTTGAATAAAAATTAAGAGTAAATAAATGTGTTGCCTTTATTTGCCCTATGATCGATCAACGAGCTAGGGAACTATAGAGTCGGGCAATATCCTTCCTAACGCGGTTCAATCTTATTCTGTTTAATCCGAAAAAGAATTCATTAATTTATTCATTTATGAACGATTGGAACAAAACGAACTAGATGAACTAAAGATCCGAACGTAGTGCCGATCGTTCCTTTTTGCGGATTTTTTTCTTTGAACTTGTTCGGTTCGGAACTAGGGATCTACCTATCCCAGAGCGCAGAAATCGACTTTTCGATTTTTTTCCAAGGTCCGCATGTTGAGGATCTGAAAGGAGCTTTTTGAAAAGCTTCTGGAATAAAATAGTGGCGGTGAAGAAGATACCAATTAGAGATGACGGAATAGATTGTATACCACATAGCCGAAGTGAGGTCATAGTAGCAATTAATCGGATGAAGAACAATACTAGACTACCGAACTATTCAAGACTGGTGATCTGACACTGATCAGGAATATGCATCAACTGCCGAAGTGAGGTCATAGTAGCAATTAATCGGATGAAGAACATTACTAGACTACCGAACTATTCAAGACTGGTGATCTGACACTGATCAGGAATATGCATCAACTGATTAGTACAATTTGGCTAGAGGAATGCATGTCCAATGATTGGAGCCTCTGCATCGAGTGTCCGGTGCACAAAAAATTAGATAAGACAATATGTGCCAATTATAGAGGAATTAGTCCCTTTCCCATCGCATATAAAGTATTATCCAGCGTGCTGTGTGAACTGAACGATGGTAAATGATATTATTGGATCTTATCAATGCGGCTTCAGACCTGGCAAACCCGCAATAGACCATAGTTTCACACTGCGTCAAATCTTGGAAAAGTCTTACCAAAAATACACCGACACATTCCACCTACTCGTCGACTACAAAGCCGCATTCGACTGCCCAATCCGCTCACAGGTGTTTGAAGCCATTACTGTGTTCGGTATTCCTGCAAAATTAACGTATATTTCCAGGGTAACTTTAACTGGTACAAGTTCAGCGGTTAAAGTCGAAAAGGACTCTCGGCGTCCTTCAATACCGAACTAGGATTCAGACAAGTTTTAGACCTTTTGTCGTGTGACCTTTTCTAACATCCTGCTGAAAAAGGTCATACGAAATGCAAATATGAACAGAAATGGCTCTCAGTGCACCGAACAGCACGTGTAACTCGCCTACGCCGTTGATATCGACATAATGGGCCGAACATTACGAGCGTTAACAGCCTTTGAACGAATTGAGCAGGAGTCAAATGATGGCTCAGACAGAAGGGAAAGCCACGAATTCGATTGAAGGTTCAAGTGGAAGACATTTCGAAACAAGGTTTTTCAAATTGGAAAAGATGCCCACAAGGCCGACGCGACTGGAAATCATTTTTAAGCTCGGCATATGGAACAAATGTTCTGTCACAAGCCAGCTCATGGTTGGCAACATTGCAGGTCGAATTCAAGTAGAAAGTATATAAAATCAGAACCCATAAATTTCAAGTTTTTGCATCATTTGAAATATAAATAACACAATTTCGATTAACATTCTCAACAGATTTCCATCCTACCAAAAAGGAAACTTTCAAACTTTACGAACTACTCTACTATGGATAAAACTCCAAATACCTTGAGATTTCAAATTATTATTATGATCTTCGCTATCCTGAACAACTTCATTCGGCGTTCTTCTATTTGAAGGCATTGATTTTTCTTTAGTTTCTTCTCCCGATTTATGGAATGACACAACGTTGGATGTCTTTTTCTGTGATTTAGTTATTGCGGCATCGCCGTGCCGAATGACATCCGCCTTCAATTTATGCGGATCATTTCTTTTTATGCCAACTTTAGACTGTGGCATTTCATTTGCCGCTGTTCGACGCATACTCGTAGCTGGAATTGTATTTGTCTTTCCATTGGGCTTGCCTTTGATGTGTTGTTTATAATTATTATTGTTGATGATGTTGGAGGAGGTGGTGGCGGCGGCCCGGTTGCTGGTGTCGGATGTTGACATTTGTTCACCCATCAAACGGAAATCTGGCATTTCAATTTTTAATTTTGCTACTGGATCTTTAGTTGCGTTTGTAATGGGATCTTCACGAATGGTGTCGGCTGCCTGAGATGATGTGGATGGTGTAGATGTGAATGGTGCCGAAGCTGCTACTGGTGGTGAAGGCGGCGTAAGATTTTTGTCACGTGTGCTTTTATTGATGGATATTGGTGTCGCTGTGGTTGGCACCGGTGCTGGATCTCTAGCAATAGTTTGTTCTGCTGTTGTAATTTTTACTTTTGTTGTTGTTGCTGTCGTTCTTTCCGATGCTTCATTAATATTTCCTGCTGTTTGTTTTGTAATTTTTCTGCATTTTTTTATAAATTAAAATAGAAATAGATGGTGTAGAAGGAGAGAGAGAGGAGGTTTCGTTGTTTTTAGAGGTGTCATATCGAAAAAAGGTAATTGGGAATAAATTGTGACCAAACTACAGAAACGAAGGAAGGTACAGGTACTCTCAAAATTGGGTGGTGAAACAAAAAACAACTGGTAATAATTAAGAAAATTGTTTAAAATACGGTTGGGTGTTTTTCCGAAGGTGTGAGGTGTGTGTGTGTTCAAAAATTTACCAAATTCTAAATAAATCAATCAATCAAAATTATAACTGTCAATTTAGGTAAAAAATCAATTCAAAATAACGTTTTACAATATCGAATAGAAAACCTCTAAGAACCACCATATCCTACAACATAGGATGGGGTATAAAGGTTTTTTTCCAATATTGCAAAAATCGGTTCGCATTCAATAATCAACTTCAAACGTGTGCTGCTGCTTGTCTAGGTACGCAATTTTCTATAAAGTTTATTTCTAGAAGCTTAAGCATCTTAAGCTCTTTATAAATTTTAATAAAGAAAATCAGTATCGTGTTCGTCCTTACCTTTCACTGTTAATCGAAGATGTCATCGACATGGACATTAACCCGGTATCCTGTGTTGTTTTGTGGCCAAGCTTTGGTGTTTTGGTAATATCCTCATTTTCATCTCCGGCGGCACCAGAATATTTGTCGCGATTTATCGAGCGTTTTGTTCTGTATGGAAATAATAAAACAAATAAAATTATAAAAAATGTTTTTAAAAAATATATTATTATGACATAGAAGAAAAAAATAATAATAAAGAAAAAAGTAAAAATTTAGGGTTCCCAATTTTTTTTAAGGCTGAACTTTTTAGATTATGCTCCATGAGGAACACAAAATACTCAAAATCAATCAGAAGTTTTATGTGAAGTCTATGTCATGGTATTTTGATGAGATAAACCAATTGCGAGAACAAAGATATACCAAACTACAGGTACTCAGTTTGGAAAACCTGTACTAGAACCTTGAACATACCGAAAATGAGGTGGGGCCTTTGTATAAGGGGCTATGTAGAAAAGTGGAGTTATATTGAAAATATTTTGTAAATAAGTCCCAGAATGCCAAATTACAGATTCTACGTAATGCTAAATAGTCACTTCGGATGTAATTTTATTTGAATTTTATTTTAGTCCCCATACCCAAATGGCAACCGATCTTTGTAATTTTTGGTAGAAAGAAATTACAGCCTCTTTGTCACCTCGGTTAGAAAAAATTGGACCTTAATAACCAAACATCGACCGATCTTTATAATTTTTAGTATGATAACTCAAAATATAAAATTTGACTCATTTTGGTTTAAAACGGCCTGGAATCGCAAAAAAACCGAATAATGGGAGCCTCTCTGAAACTACGGTCAATATTGACTGAACGTCAAATTACAGCCACTTCATAGTGCTAAAATATAGTCACTTCGCTTGGAAAATGTTCAATGTTAATTCGCCATACCTAAATACCGACCGATCTTTATAACTTTTAGTAGGAAGATTTTCCAGGCAATGAGAACTCAAAATATAAAATTTGAACCAAATATATGTCTGAAAATCTCAAAATGACGGGTACTATTTTATATGGGGCTATGCCAAAATGTGGATCGGTATCGATAATATTTGGCAGACAATTTTGACATCCAATTATAACCCAAAATAACAAATTAGGGACGATTCGGTTGAAAAACTTGTCAAAAATACCGAATAATAAGGGGTAGCGTTATATGAGGTCTACCCTGAAATATAGGTCAATATCCTTTTTATAGGGGGCTATGTAGAATCATGAATTTATGTTGGAAATATTTTCTAAATAAGCTGTTTATTCGGCAAGGCGCGAGAATGCAAAATTAAAGCCCCTTCGCAATGCTAAAATATAGTCACTTCGGTTGGAAAAGATTGGACCATAATTTGGGCGCCATTCCCAAATATCAGCCGATCTTTATAATATTTGGTAAGAATATTGTCCACCTGATAAGAACTCAAAATATCAATTTAGGGCCAACTAGATTGTAAACCATGTCCGAAAACCTCAAAATATCGAAAATTGGGGGTACGGTTAAAGTGCCTATATTAACCCTACGGTCAATAACCGGGTACATTTGTACCTTTTTTTGAATAAAAATGCTGTAAAATTTTCAATAATAGAGATATTTGGATCAAATTTTGAGGAATCATTCTTGAGGTATTTTCACACATAATCGAAGAAAAAAATTGTAAATATTTTCCATATATATAATTTTTACAATTTTTTAAAGTTATTACCTACGTAGATCAATAACCGTGGTACATTTGTACCCATCCAAAGATAGCTCTGAAACTCATTAAAAAATTGGACTATCGCGAGGTTTTCTGTTTGAAATTAGTCTATACGGATCTAATCTAGATGTAGGAACTCAAAATTATATATACATTAAAATATTGTATATTTAAATCCAAGCTTAAATGATAATCTATCTAAAACAATCATAGTAAATTCGTTATAGCTTTCGAATGGGTTAAGCTTTTTTAGTTATTTTTTTATTGGGATCTTATTTAGGTGTTCATCATTGTTTTTGTGCCTGTATACCAAGGGAAAACCAAGGTAGTTTCTGACTTCCACGAGTCGCCCCGATGGCCCCATGTTGTCTAGGGCCACAGAAATTTGCAGAGGGGTTGATGAACACCTAAATAAGATCCCAATAAAAAAATAACTAAAAAAGCTTAACTCATTCGAAAGCTATAACGAATTTACTATGATTGTTTTAGATAGATTATCATTTAAGCTTGGATTTAAATATATAATATTTTAATGTATATATAATTTTGAGTTCCTACATCTAGATCAGATCCGTGTAGACTAATTTCAAACAAAAAACCTCACGATAGTCCAATGTTTTAATGAGTTATAGAGCTATATTTGGATGGGTACAAATGTACCACGGTTATTGATCTACGTATACTTTTTTGGTTATTGACCGTAGGGTTAAAACGTAGACCGATATTAATAATTTGGTGGGAACATTTTACAACCAAATAGAAATATCAAATTAGGTACGTTCGGTTGAACAACTTGCCCACATTCCCGTTGAAAATATTTTATAACGAAGTTGCCTTAATGGATAACGACGCCGAAAAGCCAAATTAAGCCACTTTGTAACGTTAAAAAAAAATTCCTTCGGTTAGAAAAGATTGGCCATTCTCAAATATCAGCCGGCCATTCTCAACATATCAAATTAGAACAAACTGAGTTAAAAAACATGTCTGAAATCCTCAAAATATCGAAAATTGGGGGTATGGTTATATGGACCTATACCAAAACGTAGACTGATATTGATAATTTTGGTGAGAACATTTTACAGCCAAATAGAAATATAAAATTAGGGACGATTCGGTTGAAAAACTTAAAATTAGAGTCATTTCGATTTAAAACCCTGCCAAAATACCGAATAATAAGAGGTACTGTTATATGGTAATTGATAATTTTTGGTAGGGGTATTTTCTAGCCAATGAGAATACAAAATACTACATTACAGTAAATTTGAATGGGAAACATGCCAAACTCCCTAAAATACCGATATTGGGTACCAGTATAATGGAGACTACCCTAATAAATGGACCAATATTGACTTTTTTAGTACGACGATTTGTTACGCAATGAGAACCCAAAATACCAAATTACAGCCAACTAGGTTGAAAAACTTTCCAAAAAAACATTTAGGGGTAAGGTTAACGTAGACCTCCCTGAAACATGGATCAATATTGACAATTTTGGTAGGGACATTTTCTAGTCAATGAGAATCCAAAATACTAAATTTCAGCCAATTTGGATGGAAAACATGTCCGAACTCCTTTAAATATCGAAATTTTTGAGGAACCGGCATAATGCCCTAAATAGAGGACCAATATTGAAAATTTTTAGTAGGATGATTTACTCTCCAATGACAACCCAAAATACCAGCTAACAGCTAACTCGGTTGAAAAACTTTCCTTAAATGCAGATTTTTTTGGTGTACCGTTTATGAAGGCTACCCTGAAGCTTGGGTAAATATTGAAAATTTTTGAAAAGCAAATATTCTAGTCAATGAGAATCCAAAATACTTAATTACAGTCAATTTGTGTTGAGAATATGCCAGAACTCCCTAAAATATCGATATTTGGAAGGAAGGGTGTAATGATGGCTGCCCTAGAAAGCGGACCAATATTGTAAATTTTTGGTAGAACGATTTACTACCCAACAGTTAGTTCGGTTGAAAAAATCCGAATATTTGGTGGAGTCGTAATGCAGGGGCTATGCCAAAACGTACACCGATATATCCCATTTTCAATACCAAACATCCTAGGAGTAGTGGCGAAGCTTTCTCTTAATCTCTTTCTCATATCTTTCAATCCCTAAAATATCCTTCTTTATACTCACTTCAAACACGGTGCTTTATATTTCGTTCTCGCCTCCAGGCGTGCTTTTGCAGCATTCTCTTCTGATTTACTTGAGGCTTGTTTCTTAATGGAATCCTGGAGAGCCTTTTCTTTGCACCATTCCACATGACGATCATAAGCTTTTAGGCCAAAACAACGATCACAGTGGGGACATTGTTCAGAGGGTACCGATGTCTGGATGGGACCACGACGTGTCAGTGATCTTTCTGAGGAACGTAAACGATCACGACTAAAATTGCTGGATGTTGTCATGCCATCGGTGGCCGAAGAGGTGGATAGCTTACGCATTGAGGCACGGGCGGTGGAGCGTACAAATTCTTCTGTGGGCTTTTTGCGCTGCATTATGGGAGAGGCGACCTGGAAGAGAGATACAGAATATTATTTTTCCATTAAATTTTAATTTGATTGTTTCCCTTTACCTTTTGCAATGGATTTGGCGACTGACCCCTTTCACTTTTCGTCCTTGTCAATGTTGTCGTACTCGACGAAGTCTTTTCGGGTAAACCAAAATTCTTTGGTAATGGATATGTGGCCAATTCGGTACCCTCTCGACGCTGCCGTGATGAATCGAAAATGTTACGCCTTTTGGTGGCCATTTTTTCACAAATGCCAACATGTTTCCGTAGTGTGACGGGGTTAAATGTTCGCGAACAAATCGGGCAGGGTGCCAGCTGTGCGCTGAACGATGGATCTGGTGTTTCCGTTGGCGTTGTGGTATTATAACTATTAACTGGAAATAAAGAATAAAATTGTTTTCAAAATATAAATGAATGTTGTGTATAACTGATATTTATAAAAATTATAGTTATTTGACATACAGTCAGTTAATATTGGATTTTATAGTAGATTTGGGGATTTTTTTTTTTAAATTTGGTGTGGGAAAATGGTTTGGAAAACTTTAGAAAAAGTCCTATTGAATCCCTTGTCAAGGCTCAGTGAAAAACTCCAAGAATAAAGATGAAATACATACAAGGATTTCAGGCATGGCATGTAAAGGGGGAAATACATAAGAGGACTTCAGGATTGACATGCTATGTTGGTTTCTTTTATTGTAAAAGAATAAAGGATAACAATTTAAATCATGCTTGAAATCCTCGTAAGTGTCTCAATTTAAGCATGCGATTAAAATTCCTAATGATTCAGAACCCATTCTTAATAAAATTTATTTCTTTACATCTTTTCTACAGAATTTGTTTTCGGCAATATTTCAAATAAAACTCGAATCAATTATCTCAAGAACCATATAACTTCTTCATAAAACTTCAGCAAATCTCTCTTCAACATTGAGATACTTAGCAACATTTCTATGTTGACAATAGCATCTTAGAAACATGTTTTTAAGAAGTCTTTTGGCAACGTTTCTCTAAAAATAGTACCTTCAATCAAGTCTTCTCTAAAAACATAGTAGTGTAGCTTTCGATTTAAAAGCGAGCGTCCCAATAGATTCCTTCCCAATGGATTTTCCACAAGGAAAGTAGCCTTCCAAAAGTGTTATAAATGTTTTTAAAAAAGTAACACCTCTAATTTGTTTTTCAACAATATTTCAAATAAACCTCGACCTCATCGATTTTTTGAGAATCAAATAACTTCATCACATTACTTCTCAGCAAGTCTTTAATCAGCTTTTAGCTTCTCAGCTAACATTTTGGAACATTTTGGAACATTTGCTTTGCAGTAACTTTTTATGTGGGCAGTAACATCTAAGCAACATGTTTATAAGAAGAGTAGCCTCTCAGTAAAGTTTCTCTAAGAAAAATATTCTCAATCAAGTCTTCTTTAAGAAACGTAGGAGTGTAGCATTCGATTTCAAAGTCGATTTTGAGCAAACCAATAAATTGCTTCTCATGACTACTCCATAAGCAAAGGAACCCTTCGACAACTATACTGTATGAAAGGTAGAACCTTAGCAATATATATATTTTTTTTAAATAAGTAACACCTCAGAATTTGTTTTTTTAGCAACATTTCATGGACTTATATTTCTAGAAAAAAATAGCTTCTTCACATATTTTCTCATCAACTATTAAACAATCTGCAACTCTTCTATTGCAACATTTATTTTGCAGCAACATTTTATGCCGACATAAGTCTCTCAGCAATATGTTTATAAGAATAGCAGCAACTTTTCTATAAGAAAATTATAGTCAATCAATTCTTCCCTAAGAAACGTAGGAGCCACACAATATTATGTTTTTCGTTAACATTTCAACAATATTATGTTTTTCGATAACATTTCCAATTGGAAAATAGTCTTCCAACTATTTTACAAACAAAAGCTAGATCATTAGCAAAATGTTTATAAGAAAAGTAACATCTCAGCAAATTGTTTATAAAAAGAAGTCCTTTATAATCTTTTCAATGAAAATAATTCTTTCAAGAACTTCCGATATGAATAGAATCATATAAAAGATGTGTCTATTTGGAGAATAGCCTCTAGTCATATATTCTTATTAAAAAAATATATATATAGGACTTGAATACAGCAACATTACCAATAAGAAAGGGAGCAATTTCTCTATGAGAAGTGGAGCCACTCGGTAACATTGGCTGCGAAACATATTCGCAACATGTCATGTTTGCAATTTTTTATAAAAAAAATTGAGAATCTCAGGAATTTTTATCAGGGTGTGAAGAATGATTAAAATACGCTTTTTCTCACGAATGCTTCTTTTTCACGGGTGAATATTCGAATGTTTTCAATTTATCGCGAATGATAAAGTTACAATGAATGAACAACCATTTGCAATCTCTCGCGAATGTTCGCATTGCACGAAAAATTCACGAGCGATAAAATTTCGCTGCAAGCGTAGTCGAACATTGAAAAAATCAAAAAACAAAGATATCGGATATAAGAAACTGAAAAAAGACGGAGATTTCTTTCTTATATACGTTTTTTTTTCTTATATGGAATTATCGGATATGAGAAAGTATAAGCTCGGTGTATGCGATTTTTTCTTATATGAGATGTGCTTATATCCGATATCTAGTGTATAGTAGAAAGTGTGTGGAATAACAAAATACATGTCAAACAACTATTGAGTTCACGAACGTTTGTTGTTATTGTTTTGAGCATTCGCGAGAATTCGGGATTGTTTGTTTTCATGCGTGAGAGAATGTAAGAAAGAATTTCAACCACTAAACGAAACGAACGAATGTTGTTGTGTGCTCATACTCGTTTGGTATGGGAGTGCGAACATTCTTTGGCGAATGCTCGTTTGGTTAAGAATTTATCACCATAAATTTATTCGTAAAATGAGCACAAAACGAAAAGAATGTATTTTGAATCATTCGCGAGCAAATTTCTGCGCACCCTGATTTTTATATAAAAAAGTTCGAAGTCTTCTTATAAGAAAAATGTTATATTCAAAATATTTGAAACTTTTTATCTGTAAAAGCGTAGTATGTCAAAAATTTTTGCGCACCCTGATTTTTATATCAAAAAGTTCGAAGTCTTCTTATAAGAAAAATGTTATATTCAAAATATTTGAAACTTTTTATCTGTAAAAGCGTAGTATGTCAGAAATGATGTTATGAAATTTAAATTCCCTTAGCAACATTTGATGCGTAAACTTTTTATAAAAAATTGAGATTATCCGGATTTTTTATATAAAGAAAGTTATGAAATCTTCTTATAAGAAAAAATTCTATTTCAAATTATTAAAAGCATTTTATCTGTCAGAAATTTTTTTTATGAAATGAATTTTCTCTCAGCAATGTTTCGCATGAAAACATATCTGCAACATCTCAATATGAATATCCCTAGAACAGTGTTGTGCAGAACAAAATTCAGAGAGAGAGAGAGAGAGAGAGTGGGAGAAAGAGTATGTGAGTGTATCTGAGAAATCATCATCAAAAACGAAGAACTGGGTAAACATTTTCGAGAAGTTTTGTACATCGATACTCAAAAAACTTGCTTATCAAATATTATCACTGAACAGTTTTTTAATCTCACAATGAAAATAACCCCAGTTCTTTTTAGTTGTATTCCCAAAAGGACACATTTTTAACTTAGTTTACCAACAGAATAAAATTTTCTAAGCTCAATCAGATCTATAATAGTATTTTCCATGAAAACTCTGAACTATAAGCGAAAATTCTTAATTCAAGGATTTTTAAAAATGTGTTTCAACCTCTATCAGAGCTATAAGCGTCGACTTTTTCTCTAGGGATCATCAGAGCTATAAGTAAAAATTCCTAATAATATTTTTTCATGGATCATCTATGGGAAAAAGCAGTATTTGCCAAACCTAAGGACATTTCATTTCTCTGAAAATTTTTTTAATGAAATGTAGCTTCCTAACGGTCCCACAGTAAATTGGCTATACAGTCGAACTTCTATAAGTTCAAAAATAAATTCCAAATTAATTAATTTCAAAGCTTGAATTCCCCATTAATATTTTTTTGGATAATGGTGGTTCGAGTAATGGAAGTTCGACTGTAGCTTCAAGATCGAAAACTGTACATGCATTTCTTTAGGTATATTCTTGAATAGTGAAATATTCGTATTGAAAAACCATATATTTTTCAAAGCCACCGTAATGAATATTAAACATTAATGTCATAGTTCGAGGTTATGTAAACTTCAAAAAAATGATTTGTAAAACATTACGTTTGACACTTGTTACATCGCATCGCGTTGTTTATAAGAAGTTATTAAAAAATAATGTTCATATTATAAACAAAAATTATTTCTTTTTAATATAGCCATTATACAAAATGGAAACACACACACAAAAATTATCAACTGATAATGGACGACCCATCAACACAAGAGATTATCTGTCATCATGTTTAAAAATTTAAAGAAGATGAAGAAAAAAATTATTTGAATTAAATTATTTGAAATGGGTGATATAAAAAATATATGAAAATGAGATTAAAAAAAAAACAGATTTATTTTCACCATTAAAACCAAAAGTACAAAAAATGACGAAAAATAATTATAAAATAAAACAACAACAAACTTCATCATTTTAAGGTTACTCGTCATGCTGTGGTCCTTCATTAAAAAAAGACGATGTGAAAGTCAAACATTTAAATCTTTTAAAACACTTTTTTTGTAATCTAAATCATAAACACTTTGTTTCTCATGGCAATTTGTAAGAAAAATTATATTATTATCTATAAATTGTTTGATTGTTTTAAAAAAATACGTTCACCATTATAATAAAGTAAACTGTCTTACAAACTAAATTACAAATTAAGATAACCACGGAAGAGCCAGTATGGAGGAGAAGAAACAAAAAGTGAATGTAAATTGCAATTGCAAAAAAGTAAAGCGGTTATTAAAAACATTGGAAGATAAACTATTTTTTATATTAAGATTATGCAAATTCCATTCATTATTATTTTTGTTGTTGTTTGCTATATCTCTAACTTTACAATTATTTGGCATTATGTTGAAAATGCTGCAGCAACTTCGTTTATATATAATTTTGAAATATAAAATGTAATTAGCCTTCATTTAAGTACAGAAATTAAAAAATAAGATAAAAAAGAAAAACTTCGTTATGTTTGGTCGAACCGAAATTTGTATACCCTCCACCAATACCTAAAATCGATAAGGAAATATGTTTAAAAAATCCACGCATTTGGATAGATACTAAAAAAAATATTTTTAAAAAATCACGCCTTAGGATAGATACCAAAAAATATTTTTAAAAAATTCACGCCTTAGGATAGACCTCGGAATAATATTTTTAAACCAGTAAGGAAAGTAGTAAAGTCGGA